GTTTGAGGTTGCTGTGAGCTAGGCTGACGCCACGGCACTCTAGCCCGGGCAACCGAGCGACACTCTGTCTCAAAAAAAAAAAAAAAAGTGAGCTACTCAAACAGGAGCCCGTGGGGTCTGCCTGAGTTCCAGCTCTGATGCAGTGTTGGAAGTTCTACTTAACATGGAAGGCATGACGTCACAATAACGCCCTCGCTCACAGTTTGTTCAGCAATGCAGAGTTTACACGGTGTCTTTATTTCACGACAGCCCTGTGGATGGATCGTGTGGCACTGTTGTCTCCACTTGACAAGGAAACTGAGGTTGACAAAGACTCTCTCCTTGACCAAACTTTTGTCAGGCTCCTCTGAACCCTCTTCTGAACTCCCGACCTCAGACTCCTGTGCCCATCTCCGTGCTGTCCAGTTTCAGCAAGAACCCTGCTACGGCAGTTTAGAGAGGATGCCCCCGCCCTGGATATCTGAGCAAGTTCTTCACCCCCACCTTTGATGTCTAGGCCCTTGGCCCACCTTTAGCAAGAATCCTGTTAGGCCAGTCTAGCAGCAATCCCCTGCCCTTGATGTCTCCTCGTACTAACTTTCTATCCAAGGACACCCCCCTTCTGCCTGATGCTATAAATTCCTACTTGTCCTGTAGTCAGAGTTGAACCTGATCTCTTCCCTACTGCGATACCCCTCATTAGAGCAGTCTTGAATAAAGTCTTCCTTACCATTTAAACAAGTGTCAGAATAATTGTTTAACAAAGTCAGAAGTTAAATGATCTGCCAAGTCTGCCTGATTCGCGAGTGGATGTGCAGCCAGGTGTTCTGTGCGTCTGTGGACTCACCAACACGAGACCAAAAAGCAGCTTCGCTCCTCCGTGATGCGCTCTTCTGGCAGCTCTGGGCTAAAACGCCTGCTGCCTCCCTCCCTGGGGTCTGACCTCCTGCCTCTTCTGCCCCCCATCCTCATCCTCCCGTAAATTGTATTCCTGGTTGTCAGAAGCAAATGCTTCCTCAGCATCTTACTGCCTCTTACACAATCCCATCCTGTTAGAATCTTCCAGTCTTATTCAGTGAACACAATCTTGACTTCCTCAAATGTGTCCCCTACTAGGAAAGATCTGGGAGAATTTAAGCTTTCAGAAGTGGCAGATTAGGGCTGGGTGCAGTAGCTCACACCTGTAATCCCAGCACTTTGGAAGGCCAAGGCAGGAGGATCACTTGAGGCCAGGAGTTGGAGGTTGCAAGCTATGATGATGCCACTGCACT